ATGATGGATGGATGATGGATGGATGATGGATGGATGATGGATGATGGATGGATGATGGATGATGGATGGATGGATGATAGAACCAGGAGTGGCAGGGAGCCAGGAATGAAAGCCAGGTGAAAGCTCTCAGAGCCGAGGGAGCAGCAGAGACGTGGGCCCCCGGGGCCCGCCCGCCAGGCCCAGGTGGAGCCTGACCTTGAGGTCCAGGTGCAGGATGTAGTGCTGATGGAGGTAGTGCACGCCCTCGCAGATCTGCTTGGTGAACAAGATCACGTCCAGTTCGGTCAGGTGGTACCTCTCATCCGTGATCCGGTCAAAGAGTTCTCCCCCGTCCACGCTGCCGGGGCAAAGGGAGAGGCAGGCACCGGACTGAGCGAGGCTCTCAGAAACCTCGCCTGCCCTCAGCACCAACCCAGGGGTGAGCCGGAGGGTGCCGCTATCATCTGGGGTCTCGTGGGGACCTGTGCTCCGGCCCAGGGTGCAGGTGTAAAAGGAAGTGGCGTCCACGGGGGAGCTGGGTTTCCTCAGTGTGGACAATTGGGCTCACGCCGGATGCCGCAGGCCAAGGCTGTAACCTCCTCTGCCTCCAGGGGCCCATTAGTGCCCACAAGGGAGAACCCCAAATGGGCAAATCAGCCCCTTTCCAGCCGGAGACCCAGGCCCAGCAGCACCAGATCTGCAGGAACAGCCAGAGCCCTGGCCCGTGTGCTCAGGTGGTTGGGCACCAAAAGGTCGCAGGTTCGATTCCTGGTCAGGGCACATGCTTGGGTTGCGGGCTCCACCCCCAGTAAGGAGTGTGCAGGAGGCAGCTGATCGATGTCTCTCACGTCGATGTTTCTCTCCCTCCCTTTTCCTCCCTCTCTCTCCAAAATCAATTTTCAAAAAATATTTTTAAAAGAAAAGCCGTATACCTAGGCTTTGGTGTGAAATTTCCCAATTCCCAACTGCCACCAACCGAATCAAAATCACTAAAACTTGTGCCGGCCAAACTGGCCTACACCGCAGGTCAAAGTCAGGCTCACGGGCCACTGCTTTGTGAGAAATGGCCTTGTCCTCCACGCTCCAGGCTGGAGGTCCAGCAGAGGAGGTGACGACGTGCCTGGGCGTCCCAGGTGGGGGGGTGGGAGGGGCAGCGTTGCCCAGCTCCAGGCCCAGCACCGAGCCGGCTGCCGCGCCGCCAGACACTCACCACTCCATGACCAGCGTGCAGCTCTGCTTGCTCTCGAAGGCGTCGTAGAGCTGGATCAGGTTCACGTGGCTCAGCTGGTTCATGATGGCGACCTCGTTCTTCACATCCTCCTTACGGAGCCGGAGCGGAAGGGAGTTTCCAAAATCAGGTCAGGAAGAGGGGCCGGCGGCACCTCCCAGGGCGCACACATGGGCACACGTGCCCACCCCACACCCTGTTTCCCGCTCTCACAACAGGCCTCCTCGACTCACCACCCAAACCGGGTGCTTACAATAGGAGGGGCCTTTGTCAGACCTGCCCATTTCACAGATAGGGAGACTGAGGCCCAGAAAGGAAAGCCGGGAGTCCAGGTGACCCTGTCACCCAGGGTGCCAGGTGACCCGCAAACTGGGGCTGTGGGAGTTGTGGAAAAGAGGCAGGCCCAGCCGCAGGGGCTCAGTGGTTGAGCATCAACCTAGGAACCAGGAGGTCAGGGTTTGATTCCTGGTCAAGGGCACAGGCCTGGGTTGTGGGCTCGACCCCCAGTGTGGGGTGTGCAGGAGGCAGCCAGTCCATGATTCTCTCTCATCATTGATGTTTCTCTCTCTCTCCCCCTCTCCCTTACTCTCTGAAATCAATAAAAATATATTGGGGGGCGGGGCAAAGGAGGCAGGAAAGGGGAGGGTTTCCTGCTCAGCACGGGGGTCTGGGCAGCTGGGGCCCAGGGGCCGAGAAGGGCGTGCTGAGCCCTGAGCCTGATCAGAGGCCGCTGGCCGGGCGGGCGCTCACCCGATCCTTGTTGCTCTTCACTTTGATGACCTTGGCCGCCAGCGCCAGGCCCGTGGACCTCTCCGTGCACCTGTGGACCTGGCCGAACCGGCCCCTGCAGATGACACGGGGGCTGAGCGCCCACGAGGCTCACCCCACACCACCCGGCGGGCCCTGCTTTCTGGTCCCACCCTCCTCCACACACACCCAGGGGTACCCGTGTCATCACGCCCGCTCCACATGGGCTCCCTGAAACCTAGACCAGAACTGCTTCACCCCGCACCCCAAGGCCGCCCTGCACCCCAGGAGCACCCTCTCCCACACCACCGCGCAGCTTCACTGGAGGACTCCCTCACCCCCACACCCCCACCCCGCCATGCGGCCCTCCTGTCACCTCCAGGCACGGTCCCCGTCCCGTCCTGCACTCCAGGGGCCCTCCTC